AGGACCAGCTTAGGTGGAAGAGGTGTAGAATCCGACAAAGTTTTTATTTTATTTTATTTTTTTAATATATTTTATTGATTTTTTACAGAGATGAAGGGAGAGGGAAAGACAGAAACATCGATGAGAGAGAAACATCGATCAGCTGCCTCCTGCACACCCCCTACTGGGGATGTGCCCCCAACCAAGATACATGCCCTTGACCGGAATCGAACCTGGGACCCTTGAGTCCGCAGGCTGACGCTCTATCCACTGAGCCAAACCGGTTAGGGCAAGGTTTTGATTTTAGATGCACAAAGCTGTGTGCTACCATGCATTTTCATGTCTCTGGTAAACTGGTGAGGAGGGCTTCAAGGGCTGAGGAGCCCCCTGGGAATGGACTGGGCAGTGGGGTGGGGGGCTGGGCACAGGCTGGCATCTGTTCCTTTGTTTGGCTCCTTTCCCAGCCCCACTGACCTCAGACTAAGTTCTAGGAGTAAGAACTGCAAGCCCACATTTAACTGTGACTCTGAGCCATGTGGGGGTCAAGCCGTTCAGTTTGGGGGTCCCCACAACCAAGGGGAATGGACTGGAGGAGTGGGGGTATGTTCTGTGTGCCACAGAGCTTCGAGGTGCCCACATGGCTGGCATAAAGGGGGTTCCTTCCCGCAAGCAGGACTGGCGCCACTGAGCTCCTGAGACACCGCCAAGTGGTGGGATTCTGCATGGGGGCCTGAGAGTCTTGGTGAGCTGTTGGTGAGCTGGTGGGTGGCATATGGGTTACTTTAATCAGTGTACACTCTTTTTCATATATATATACTGATTTCAGAGAGGGAGATGGAGAGAGAGAGAAACATCAATGATGAGAATCATTGATCGGCTGCCTCCCACACGCCTCCTACTGGGGATCAAGGCCGCAATGCAGGCATGTGCCCCCGACCAGGAATCAAATAGTGACCTCCTGGTTCATAGGTGGATGCTCAACCACTGAACCACACTGGCCAGGCCAATGTGAACTCTTTTGTGTCCACTGTCGCTGAGGCTCTGGGACTGGTATTCAGGGACCTCAAGGTGCAGGTTACGGCCAGGCCAGGGAAGGGGGGGGGTGGGATGGAGTGGAATTGATGTCAAGGGGTTGAAGCTGAGATGGGGGCCTGTGACTTCTGCAGTGTCCCAGGCTGGGTTCCTGAGTGTGAAAAAGTGTGCGTGTGAGGGATGGCTCTCTGTGACTCCAGAAGCTGGCAACTGATGTCTACCTTTCCTGTCTGCTCCTGTGTCGTTCTTAGCCTTAGGTCTCTGCGTCCAGGGCCCCAAGTTGCCCACTTCAATGGGGAGGAGTAGGAAACTGGGTGCCAGGGGAACAGTCTTTGATCGCTAACCCCTGGATTTCCAAATCAGTCACTGCTGCTATCCAGCAGTTCTCTGGGCACAGAGAGGGTAACTGACCAGTTTGGGGTGGCACAGGGCGGCCCAGAAGGACAGTGAGGTGGGGGCGGGGGAAAGCTCCCTCACCGCCCACATGAGCTCAGGCTCAAGGATTTCCAAGGGGAGCCAGGGCCCTGTGAGGGGAGGGCCCAGAGGCTGCAGCAGCCTGGAGCCCCAGGGGAGGCAAGGTCAGTGGAAATCATCAAGGCCAGACTTGTCAGAAGGCGGGGAGGGGAGGACAGAGGGCGCCCGGTCTACTGCCATGCACTCTGATGGTTCAAAGCGTTTTCTTCCTGAATTCCTCTTTATTTTTTATTTTGTTTTTTTAAGTCCTCACCCAAGGATAGTTTTCCATTGGTTTTTAGAGAGAGTGGGAGAGAGAGGGGAAGACAGAGAAATATCAATGTGTCGATTGGTTGCCTCCTGCAGGAGCCCAGCCCAGGGTACAGGGCTGGGGAGGAGCCTTGCAACCAAGGTGCGTGCCCTTGACTGGAATCGAACCCGGGACCCTTTGGTCCACAGGCCGACATTCTATCCACTAGGGCAATTCCTCTTTATTTAAGAGTCCAGATTCTGCCTGGAAAAATTACCTTCTAAAACCTGCCCAGAGCCCTCGCCAGTTTGGCTCAGTGGATAGAGTGTCAGCCTGCGGACTGAAGAGTCACGGGTTGATTCTGGTCAAGGGCACATGCCTGGGTTGCGGGCTCGATCCCTCAAAGGCAAGGTGCAGGAGGCAGCCGATCGATGATTCTCTCTCATCATTGATGTTTCTATCTCTCTCTTCTTCTCCCTTCCTCTCTGAAATCAATAAAGATATATTTTTAAAAAATAAAATATAATAAAACCTGCCCCGAACAAAGGTAGAAAACACCCTACAAAGTAGGTGGAATAACGGGTGATGTAAAAAATCCTCTCCTAAATTTTTCCAGACCTCTTCTTTGATCGGCTGCTACTTTGATAAGGCCCAGAGGCATAAACATGACTATTGTTCAAAGTGCTTAAGCCTGATAGTGGATGGAGTCAGGGCGCTGGTGGTTCCGGCCCGGCTCAGCTAGTCATGAACGTGAATAGCACAGGCTGCTCCTGGGTTCCGGGCCTTCCTGCTGTGCCACTGTCGGGGAACCACTGCTGTTGGGGAACCGCCTGGTGCACACCTCGCACCTCAGCTGGAAGACTGAGGCTCAAGGGGCCCTGGGCTGCGGAATTTGGGGGTCCCCGGAGCCTGAGCCACCACCGGAGCCCCAGCCCCTGAGCTGTGCAGCAGTCCCAGCGCTGCAGCAGAGACGCCAGCCCTGAGCAGCCTCCGGGTCCAGGGCTACGTTAAGAAAGGCCAGAACTATGGCGGGTGTGTGTGTGTGTGTGTGTGTGTTTAT